GATGTTTAGGGTGATGCAACAAAGGCCACCTTACATGAAGCAAGAAAGGTGGGATGTTCAAGCTGGATTCCAAAAAGGAAGAGGTACTCAAGACCTAATTGTGAGCACTCACTGGATGCTGGACTGCTCCAAAAACTATCAGAAGAGGGTGGGTCTATGCTTCTTTAGAGACTACAGTAAACCCTCTGACTGTTAGATCATGCAAGGCCAGTGGTTGCTCTGGAAAAAAAAAAGGGGTGTTCCTCAGCACTTGATTGTCCTGATGTATAACCTGTGCTGTGGACAGGAAGCCACAGTCAGGACAGAATATGGACAGACTGAATGGTTTCTTTTAGGCAAAGGTGTCAGACAAGGGTGTATTTTATCTCCCTGTTTGTTTAATGTGTACACAGAACATATTATTAAAAAAACTGGACTAGACTCAGAGAAAGGAGTAAAAATCGGTAAAAGAAATATCAATAACTTAAGATATGCTGATGATATTATCTTACCTGCAGAAAGGAGCAATGATTTGAAATGACTTCTGATGAAGCAGAAAGAAGAAAGTGCCAAAGCGGGACTGCATTTGAATATCAAGACAAAAATCATGACTACAGAAGAGTTAACAGAACTTTTAACACAGACAACGAACGAACTGAAATTATTCAAGAGTTTTCTTACCTTGGTCCACTCATCAATTTAAATGTAGACTGCAGCCTAAAAATCAAAAGGCTTAGATTCAGAAGGGCAGCCATGGAAGAATTAGGAAAGATCACCAAGAGCAAGGCTGCATCATTAGAGACCAAGGATAAAATCATCTACAGTCTTGTATTTTATTATGTATGAACACAAAAGTTGGGCAGTGAAAAAGGCATATAGGAAAAAAGTTGACTCATCTGAAATATGGGGTAGGAAGAGAGCTCTCCGGATACTCTGGACTGCCAGAAAAATGGATTAGTAGGTCCTAGATTAAATTAAGCCCAAAACATCACTGGAGACAAAAAACGGCAAAACCGAAATTGTCCTTCTCCAGGCACACCATAAGAAGGGAAGTGCTTCAGAAAAGACAATAAGGCTGGGAAAAATAGAAGGCAGCAAGAAAAGAAGAAGACCAAATATGAAATGGATTGACACCATAAAAGAAGCCATAGGAATGAATCTACAGGAGCTGAGTGGGGCTGTTAAAGGCAGGACATAATGAATATTACTCATTCATAGATTTTCCTGGAGTGGGAACTGACTCAAAAGTAACTAACACACACACGAGCCAAAAAGGTAAAAGTCAAGTCTTTGTTTTTCATAACAAGCTCCTTTCAATCACATGTGAGTTTTTATTAGTGAAGTGACTTTCTGAAAGCCCCTATAGATTGAGAACCAACCACATGATTAGAGGGTTGGAATTTTCAGCTAGACCCCAAGAACTCCAGGAAAGGGTGTGGGAGTGGAAGGGGTTCAGGGCGGGGGTAGTTGGAGGTTGAATTAATCACCAATGGCCAATGATTTAGTTAATCGCATAATGAAGTCTCCATAAATCCCCATAAGAAGGGATTTCAGAGCGCTTCTAGACTGGTGAATACATGGAGATGCTGGGAGAGTGGCAGGTATGGAGAGAGCATGGAGGCTCTGTGCCCTTTTGCACATAACTTGCCTTATGAATCTCTTCATGTAGTTATTAATTTGTATCCTTTATTTTATTTATTTTTTAAAGATTTTATTTATTTATTTTTAAAGAGAGGGGAAGGGTGGGAACAAGAGAGGGAGAGAAAAATCAATGTATGGTTGCCTCTCATGCGTGCCCTCTATTGGGGACCTGGCCCGCAACCCAGGCCTGTGCCTGAGTGGAAATCGAACTGGTGACCCTTTGATTCACAGGCTGGCACTCAATCCACCGAGTCACACCACCCAGGGCATACTTATTTGTATCCTTTACAAATGTTGGCAATAGTAAATAAACTGTTTTCTTGGATTGTGTGAGTAGCTCTAGCAAATTATTGAATCTGAAGAGGGGGTAGGAGACATCTCTAATTTGTAGCCACATGGGATAGAAGTTGTGAGTAACCTGGGGACCTGGTACTTGAAAATGGCATTTAAAGTATGGGAAGTCTTGTGGGATTGAGCCCTTAACATGTGGAATCTATACTAATTCTGGTTAGTGCCAGAATTGAATTGATTGAATTGAACTGTAGAACACCCATGCTGTCAGAGAATTGGTCAGTGTAGGAAAAAACTTCTGGTGTCAGAAGTGTTGTGACTGTGAGAGAAAAGGAAAACTCTACTTTTTCTTTCTAGACACTTTCTATAGATAAGAGGCTTCCAACTTAATGGTTTTATGATTGATATCTTTGAAATTCTGTTACAATAAACACTTTATTTAGCTACCATATGAAGCCTGTTCTTCTACTGCTTTTTATCTTCAATGTTAGCAGCAATGATTTACATTTATAGGGAGCATTTCTTTATGAAAATTGATCACTTTAAGCACATACAATAAGGTGTCAGGAAAGGGCATAAGAGGTAAGTTACAAAGTTTAGATTCATTCAGATTTGGAGGAAGGATGTCAGGATAATTTATTATACTTGCTAAAGACAAAAAGGGTAAAAAACAAACAAACAAACAATAAGATGTTCATGGACTCCCTCTGTCAAGATAAAAACAAAACTGTATACAAAAAAATTTATTTTAGTAACTCACACAACATAATCGTCTATCATCACAAATTCACACTATTAATACCCTATTGATGCATGAAATTAAAATCAGTCTGGTATTTATTCTTATTAATCAAAAGAGTCCGATCTGGATTTAGGTAATCTGAGTCATCGGCTTCACCAGTGAGTGATCCTAGGTACATACCTACTCTGCATGGCACTCCTTTCTTTCATCTTCAATTTAAAATTCCCTATGATGGTGTTTACTGTTTAGGACTTAGTCCATTATGTAATAAATTTTTTAGAGTATTAAAACACTGGTTAGGCAAAGTAAAGGGAGCAAGGCAATTCTAGCTTTTCACAAATACAAAAAAGGTATCTGGCCTGTTTCTCTTCCCTCAAGCAGGAGAACTTCCTGGCAGCAGATTAAACGAAAGAATGGTTCCAACTTACGCCATCTCATTTAATTTCCTCTGAATTTACTTTTGTTTTTTTCATAATGCCACATATAGCCTACTGTCAAAAGAACTAATAAACACTCATTATAACTAAAATAGTACCAAATCATGCATAAAAGAAAACCCGAAAAACCTAGTATATATCCCAAGAGAAAAACATTCAGTTCCAGATGTAACCACAAAGAAAAACTAGAGTCTAATAACAGCAGTCACCTAAACAAAGCACATCCAAAAAGTAAGTAGAATGCTGCATTTGAGAAAAATCAATGAACAAAACAATTGCACAATAGTAGCATATGTGAATATTAGTAGGATATGAGCATACGAGGGCCAGCAGCCCTGGAATACTGGCATTATCATGTTAGGGAATGTAATGCTTATGCACAAAGAAATCACTACATAAAGTCACAGAGGCCAAAGACACAGTGAGGCCACCAAGAGTATGCCTCCAAAATGCCTGTTCCATTCATGTTAATCTTTTGTGTTCTTCAAGCAAGAAGTGAATTCATTAATTTTCCCTAGGAACAGGGAAAACAAAATAATAGTGAGTGCAAAGAACAAAGCCCTCATTTCAAATAAATGTAACAACAGCCACTATTTTTGGCAGAGGTTCACAGGTAGAAAGCTGCCTCATTCAGGGTGAAGAGTCTCTTGGAATATGCTAAAGCCATTCACATGAAAAGGCAAAATTCAATTACAGATCATAATTCATACAATGTATTAACATTTCTCAGCTTCTAAAATGACAGTTTTCCCAAGGCTTCACCTTTGGGTAGAGATCCAAGTGCCACTTTATATATAGTATATTTATTTGTCAAATGATAATACCCCCTTAACAGGGTTGTTCTAAGAAAAAAAAAGAGACTACATGAAATTGCTTTCAAGGGTTAAATAGAATTTTAACAAATTATGTTATAAGTAAACGTAAAATTCTAAACTCAATCTAATTACTTCCTTTTGGTACACAGAGTTGAAAAATTTATTACTTTCTATTATAAAATATATCATATATAAAAGTACATAAAATGTATACACTTAGCTAAAAGAATACTAATTTTTAATGGACCCAGGTATATACCCCATTCATCTTAAGAAATGGAACATTATTAATACCTTGGTGGCTCCTAGAAATCTATTTCTAGACTTCTCTTAAGCCACTCCATACTATCCTAGATTTTGTGCTAATTACTTCCTTGTTTTTATTTATAGTATTGACACATTTATATATATTTCTAAACTAACTATATCTACTTACCTATCAGTTGTCATCTATTACTATCAATCCATTCATCTTCCACCCATCCATTTTTTGAACTTTATGGGATATGCTGTATGTACTTATCCTTCAACTTTTACAATATTTTTCTCAGAGTAATTTATTGACATTATCTAATTTTCCATATAACACCTGTGGTTAAAGGAATGTATTATACCCATTCAAAGCAGAGAAAATGAGGCACAGTAGAGCTAGCAACTTGCCACATTTTATGAGAGGACAATGGACAAATCTTTCTACAGTAATTTTGAAAGTAAAGCTAACCAATGACTCAGAGCTTTTTATAACATTCATATTTTTAGCTTCAATGAAACTAAAACATTTCTCTAGCGTTAGGAGCACAATTAAGTTAATATTTTTAAATTGATTTTACACATTTGTTATTTTTTGCTTTCATATTAAAGGGGAAGTTATATTAAAGTGTGTGGATCATGTAAAAGCCCTAAACAATATTTAAATATATTAGCTAAAAGGAAAACAAGAATGAATTAAATAAAGGATATCAAGAAAAGATTTGGTTTTCTCTTTGGGTATGGACTATTAGAAAACAACCGTATTATGGAATATTCTAATTAAAGAAGATGGCTCTTTAAATAGGCAATTAGTTTAATACTAATTAATCCAAAGATATCATTCACCTGAGCAAGTGGTGGAAGAATCTCCTTGCATATTTGCTGATTTGGTCTCTATATTCCAATATAGTTGTATCGAGGAGTGGTCTTGTTGGAGCATAGAAGGTTCCAAGGCTTGCCTCAAGCTGTGCTGTGGAATTCAAACATAGCAGCACTAAAACAAGTGAAACTCCTTCAATTACAACAGAATACTCATGTTTGCAGTCAGTCAGGTTTTGCAAACTTGGATGAAATGTGAGCTTGTTGCAGGAAAGATGAAATTAAAATATGACAGCTGGTACAAAAACAAACCTGTGTATAAACTTTCACTTAAGGCAAAGCTGACAATGACTCTGAGCAACAAAAAAGCTGTCAAAACTGAAGAAATCCATAATGAATCAACCTCTCACCACAAATGGGTAATTAAAACAGTGACTCATCAAAGCAACACAGTTTGAACTAGTATTTCCAGTAAAATCAACTGTGTGCTCAACATTTACTCTCTTTAGTTGAAAGGAAAAAACTAACCTGACCACACTGGGAACTGAAATCAGTATTAGAAATGTTTTTTTAAAAATAATACAAATAAAAATAGCCTTATTGTAGTATCTGTAGAGATATTCCTATATCTATTACAATATTAAAGAAACAGTGAAAGTCCCTGTATGGTCCCCAAATCATGTCCTAAACAGTAAGATTGATAGTTCTGTCCAGGTGTGAAAGCTAACACCCTTGGGAGGGATGACATGCTAATCTCTTCTGGGTCAACTGACACCTTCCTAGGAAGGAAGGATTGGAGAGCAGGTTTTGATAAACCAGAGTGTTGTAACAAGGAGAAAGAGGCACATTTTGCCTACTTCACAATTTTACCAAGACATGCATATGGGGTTGTATTTCCTCCCAGAAATACCTGGAAGTTATATAATTAGCATAATGGTGATAGTATGAGTACATATGAGAACACTCATTTCACAGTTAAGACTCCAATGATTCTTATGCTACTTACCAGTACTTGGTTGAATAAAAAGTTTTTTATTTAGTGAAACTCTTTAGTTTTAGGTGTATTTGGGTTTGAAAGTATTGAATACCTCATCAGAGTAATTGCTATGGACTTGGCTAAGCTGTAAATAATTTCCTTTTTAATCTCAAATCTAGACAGTAAAGTAAGATGAACTTTAGGGGTATTTTCTTTCAAACCAGCAGTCAATTTAGATTAAAATTGAATACAGCAAGGTTATTGTGAAAACAAGCCAGATTCTCTTGCCATCACTTGTTTTCTTGACAGCATGTTTTGTACATTTGAAATCTTCGAGCCTACATGGAATACTCGTAATTCCCAGCACAGTTATAGATTCATTAGATAACCCAGCTTGATGTTTAAGGCAGAAATGAAGATCTCAAAGATAACCACAACTCGGATACAAATAAAAACTCACTGGGTTTCACTAATAAAAGGAAAACAAATTACCATGTCAAATTTGTGGACTGAGATAGAATAAATCTCAATAGAGAAGAATTCTGAATGGTTTAGAAGCGTGTTTTGCAGTTACTTGGGGAAACATGCATATACCTACTTAAAATGTACATATTCTGATAACCCAGCATCATGCAAGTATTTTATTTTAATAGCCTAGTACCATACAAGCTTTTTATTCCCAATTCCCTTCAGTATGGTTCCTGAAAATATTCTTTATTAAGGCAAAAACCTGATAATGCCATTTGTGAATTCCCTAATAATCTTTCTTATAACACAGGAATCTTACAATACAAATTCACTAAGGTGTTAGCAATTTCTGGGTCCTGAGTGACAGCAAATATTTTATTTTCTCTATATTTCTTCAACTATAAATTTAGGGTCTCTTGTATAGATTTGTGTAACATAAAAGGTTTTCTTTGGGGACTCTGCTTCATTTTTTTTCTATAACTTACCCAATCTTGACAGTGTTCCAATATTAAGAAATAATTACTTGAAATAACTCTTCAGGAAGAAATATTACAGTAATCTCTAGTACCTAAAATTTTGAAGTTATATTCTTTTTACTTTTAACTAATATTTGAGTACCAACTGTGGGTCAAGCACTGTACTAGGCATTTTCTCATTGTAGTAATACTGGAATCTTCATAGATGAATTGGACTACCTCCAAAAAGCACATTCAAGTAACATTAAATAAATATTTATTGTGGGCCTCCTGTGAGTCGTGCCAAGTCCCATCATGCAGGCTTTTTGAAGGAACATGTTCTTATTGATTATTCTTCTCTGAAATTACTAAAATGAAGGTTACATGCAGAATTCTATCTAAACAATTTATTTACTTTGGAAACAAAATAGAATAAAAAAATCTATAACCTTGCAAAGCAAATAGAGGAAAACAAGCTCTCCAGTAAAGACCTTTTGATGTATTTCCTGTTTCCCCTACGTTGTAAACTATCCTGAGGACAGTTTCTCATTGGCCATGATTTCCCACCAGTAACATCAATGTTTTTTACAAAGACTTGAAATAAAGAAGGAAGTACAAAAACTTTTAGTTTTGTTTTACCTAAAACTTATTAAATAATAAAAATAACATACTGATAAATGATAAATATAAAAACTTCATTACTGTATGTAGCACATATTTGTTTTTTCTTTTTTTTTAAAAATAGTATCTTATATCTCTTTGACAATAAACATCTGAGATCCTACTTACTGGGGGAAGGTAGGGAAATCGAAGCAGGCAGAAGGGAGAGTGGTATCAGAACTACAAGTTAGAATGAAAATAAGCAGCAGCAGCAGCTTGGGCTGCAATTCTGGCGTGCGCGCGTGCACGCGCGCACACACACACACACACACACAATCAGGGTTAAGGACTATTGTGCAGATGAAGGACTTGGGGTGTGAGAGAAAGATATTGATGTCTAAAGTAAAGGAGGAATAAGGACCTTTGTTTGGGGCCTTCTGTCTACCAGACTCTAGCAAGTACATGAAATTCTTGATCAAAGTTTGAAATCTGAGCATGTTCCACACATGAACTTACACTGAAATATACAATCATGGCACTGTAAGTTCCAACATAGGTATGTACAGAAAAGTTGTTTTTTATGTTGATAAATACTATACAGTAAGTACCACATGGGAGTTATTATCTGAAATCTAATCTTGTCAGTTTCAATAAGGCATTAACATTTTTGTCTTTCAGTCTTCAGTAATATAACTGAGAATAATCCTCATAAATAACTGACTCAAAAAAATGTACATTTATATGCAAAACCCATTTATGAAAATATATTTCAAGTCTGACCTTCTCTCTCTGGAGTGAGCTTTTGTCTAAGAAGATGGTTGACAATGGCACTCATGCTGACAAAGCACTGATGGCCCAGAGTGTCCCAGTTCATACTGCTCAGGATGTTTATCGCCTCGTAGATCTCATCATAGTGAATGTACTGGAAGATGATGTCTACCAGGCCCAGCTGTCCTTGCGTGAAGATACCTGTTACAAAAAATGTAAAACTAAGTAAATCTTTTAAAAATAAAAAGTAGAATAAAACAGTTAAGTTTTCAATAAAGGAAAAAAAACAGTAATCATTTCTTGCTTAAGTGCTGGAAATGTGAAATTTGGGACAAATTTTGAGTAATATGGCTTTGTGGTTAAACAGTCATTTTAAATAATACCTACCAACTCTGTCTAGCTTATTCTTATCATTTCAGTACATATTAATTAATTTATATTCCATGTAATCAATCTGCTTAAACTAAAAGTGAGTAAGCATGAGAAGAATATTTAGGTAGACCACAATAGCTAACACTGTTTTTCCTATTAGTTGTTTAGGCTTCTGGTGTATACATTTAAAAGCAGGATTTTGATGTGAACACAATTCTTATTGACCAGCTCCATTAGTTCTACATTGCACCTAGTCTTCAGCTCCATGTACTTGGGGGAGAAGGGAGTACAAATGTACAAAGGACAACTATAGTATGACTATACAAATGCTTTGGGTCTGTTTTTATTAATTGGTACTCTCAACTGAAGTTTTTTCATAGCTACCACATACCAATTTATTTTGAATTGGCATTTAGAGATTGTTCTCTTCCACTGAAGAAATGATCAGTATCAATTCTGCTATTGCTCTCCTTTACAACTAATATTTGCTATAAAATAGTGTGGTAAAATAGAAACACATTTGTTTATCTTTTTAAATGAAAGAAAATCCACGAATAATCTTAGAGGAACAAGAACACAAAACAAATGGGGGAGCATTGAGTTCTAGTTTTGTTCTATTGGCTTTTTAACATGGCTTATCTCATTTGAAACTAACAATTCCTGTGTAAATGACAATAAATAGTAGGGCTTTTAAGCAGGTTATTATTTTTTAAATCCTTTAAAAATGTCAGGCAGTAAAAATCTGTTTTTTAATTCAGACAATGCTTATGAATTTGAGTCTACAAAAACTTTTCAGTACAAATAATCATAAAGCTAAGTAAGAAAATTTACATGAAATTTGTAAGCTGTAAAATATATAAAATATTACTGCAATTCTTTTCATTACTATCATCATTTGACTGCAATGTCTTTAGGTTTCAGGATTTTAAAAAATATATTAGTTCATGAGAAAAATGTGAAAATTCTTCATATTAACTTCATGTCACATCAAAAAGAGAACTTGTGCTATATCTAACAGGATTCAACTTGATAGAGAATCTGGGGACTTGCCCTGGCTAAGCAATAAAACTTTACTATTCTTTTTGTGTTGGTAGAATCAGTTAGTGCTGCTGTCCAAAAGCCTTCAAGAGCCTGCAGTCAAGCACTGAAAGAACTCATAAATCAGAGTGGTTCTTTGGCAGTGGATATTAATGTGGAGGAACTTTTGCAGGTAACTGAAAATATCCAAAATCTGCTGACTCTATTTATACCTTATGTAATACTTCTATCAAGAGAAAGAACTGATTTTTCAAAAGCTAATATATAATATAATCATAATAAAATTGTGCAAAAGGTGATACAGAAAAAAACTTTTAAAAGCAACCCAAAAAGAGACACATGATGTACAGAACAACAAAGATATAAATAATCACAAACTTTGCTCCTGAAATTAGGCAAGACAGAAGACAACAGCAAGACATTTTTTAAATGTTGATAGAAAAAATTAGGCTAAAATTCTCTATCTTTATAATAAAAAGTTAAAAATTCATGAAGAACGTAACAATTTTAAATAACAGAGCTCTGAAATAATAAAGTAAAAACAGATAGGAAAAAAGTCAATTCTATAATTATAGTTGGAGATTTCAGCACTTTTTTATCACTGAGAGAACATATAAACAGAAAACCAGTACGAACAGAAAAATACTTGAAAAACATTATTAATGATTTTGACCTAACACTTATAAAACATTTCACATGAGAAAAGTAGAGTACTCATTCTTTTTAAGTACACAAAGAACATCAACCAAGATGGAGCATGCTCTGGGCTATAAAACAAGCCTCGGTAAATGTAAATGTTTTGAAATCACACAGAGTAGGTTCTGTGGCCACAACAGAATTAAATTAGATATCAATACAGTAAGATATCTGGAAAATCTCCAAGTATCTAGAAATTAATCAACATTCTTCTCAATAACCTATGGGTCAAAGAAGAAATTGCAAAGTAAATTAGAAAATATTTTGAAATGAATAACAACTTTAAAATAACATCAAAATTTGTAAGGTATGACTATGACAGTACTTAAAGGAAAACTTCTAGCTGTTTCAATTAGAAAAGGAAAAAAGGTGTAAAAATTAAAAAAATCCAAGTTTCCATATTAAGAACCTACAGAAAGAAGAGTAAATTAGACCTAAAGTAAACAAAAGGAAATAATAAAAATAAGAAACAGAAAATAAACAAAGACTAGAGAAAATCAATGAACTCAAAAACTGGTTCTCTGAACCACTGAAAGGTGCCACAAATTTTTTAGTCTAGTTAGGAGTAACTTCTATGAAATAGCCTGGCCAATTAGAAAGAGAAATTCCATTCATTTGGCTGGGTTTTTTTTTTTTCCCAAATAAAAACTTACCTTATAGCCACTTTTAGACTGAGAAGCTAAATTGAACAAGCAATCATATTTTATCTAAGGAAGTATGATTTTAGCAATATTTTTCAGTTTTGAAGTCTAAAGCATCAACTGAAAATGAATTTTTGTAGGAACTTTTAATTGCCATTTGTACTTAGTATTCCCTTATGTGTATATATACACCTGTATGTGAATATACATACAAGCTATATACACATGTAACACAGCCTATCACTATGTGACACCGGTTGCATACTGAGGATTGCAGTAAGGGCTGGTGAGCTGGGGGGAATACTGTGGATATTTAATAACTACTTGTTTTTAAATTAATGAATGCTTAGCCTTTCTATGTGCATAATGGCACACGAGCTTGATACCTAGGAGTTCGACAAACTGAGATGTTCACTATTCAGTTGCAGACTGGGGAAATAGCTTAGTATTTGGCATTAAGACTATGAAGGGTTGCTAGGTTTGAGTCATCATTCTCTCTCCTTCATCCAATGGTGATTGAACAAAAAACTATCAAAGCTCATTCAAGAAGAGATAGATAAGCTGAATGACCCTTTATTATTTGGATTTGAATCTGCAGTTAAAAAACCTTTACATACACATACATAACACATACACAGTAATACTGCAACACACACACACACACACACACACACACACACACACACACACACACACACAACTTGCATGTCCAGATGCCTTCACTGGTGAATTCTCTTAAATATTAAGATAAGAAACAATATCAACTCTACAGAACTCAAAATGTAAGAGGAGGGAACACTTCCCAACTCATTTCATGATGTTAGCATTACACTAATACCAAAAACGACAAAGTCATTAAAGGAAAAGGAAAAGTACAGACCAGTATCTCACATAAATAAATACAAAAATCCTTAACAAAATATTAGCAAAACTACCACACATTAAAAAAAGATAATTATCATAAACAAGAGAGATTCCACAAACACAAGGTTGCTGAAACATCTGAAAACTAATCAACTTAATTCACCATATGACCAGACAAAATATATAATCATTTCAATAGATGTTGAAAAAGCCCTTGAAAAAATTCAGCATAAACTCAAAATAATACATCTCAGCAGACAAGGAATGGAAGTAGATCTTCACCCTAATAACATCACACTTACAGAGTGAAAGATTAAATGCTTTTCACCACAGATCAGAAGCAAGGCAGGGATGGCCTCCCAAGGGAAGGTATGTTGGTATCACAAGGGAATGATACAAACAAAAGGACATATATGTTGGATAAGAAGATGTAAAATTGTTTCTAATTGCAGTTATCATATTCATCTATGTAGAAAATCCTAAGGAATTGACAAGAAAGTTACTACTAACAAGTGGGTTTAACAGTGCTATAGGATACGTGGTCATATTTTAAATTTTTATTTCTATATAACCCCAATGAATGATTAAAAACTGTAATTAAAAATACTATTTATGATAGCACCCAGAAAAGTGAACAAAACATGTACAAGATCAACACTGCTGAAAGAAACTAAAGAAGACCTGAATAACAGGAGAAAGAGACTGTGTTTATAGGTTAAGAGCTTCAATATTGTTAAATTGTTATTTTTCCCCAATTTGATCTATGGATTCAGTATAATCTCAATCAAAATCTAGGAGGTCTTTTTGCAGAAACTGACAAGTCAGTTTTAAAATTTATATAGAAATCCAAAGATCTAGAGTAGCCAAAACAATTCTGAAAAAGTAGAACAAACTTGGAGGACTAACAGAACCTAATTTTAAGGCTTACTATAAAACCACAGTAATTATGACAAGGTGGTACTCACATATAGACATATAGATTGGTAGAAGAGAAAAGAATCTATTCATAGGCACACACACATATGGTCAACGTAATTTAATGAGGAAAGGATAATCTTTCCAACAGTTGGTGCTGAAAAAACTGAATAGTCATACTAAAAATTTACCATATGATCTCACCTATAAGCAGAACCTAACCAACAATACAAAGATGCAAGGAAAATAAGACGAGCAACACTGAAAGGAAAAGACACCAACAGAGACAAGAGGGAAGTAGAGAGGGGTGGGCGGGGGAAAAGGAAGGGAAGGGGAAAGTCAAGGAACAAATAGCAAGGTCTCATGGACAAAACCAAAGGGGAAGGTGAGGGAGGGAGAGTAGGGAGGGGGCAAGGGAAAGTGGTGGGGGGAAGGCAGAGACAAATGTATTTGAAAAAATTAATTAAAAAATAAAAAAGAATAAAAATCATGTCTAAACAAAAATAAAAATAATAAAAATTTAATTTCAACCCATACCTCACACCATATGCAGAAAATTAAGTTGAAATAGACAATAAACCTAACTGTAAGAACTCAAAACCATAAAACTTCTAGAAGAAAACAGGATTAGACAATGATTCCTTTAATAGGACATAAAAAGCACAGGCAATAAAA